CCAGGCCCTCTGGAGCAGTGCCCTAGGTGTGAACCTGCATACCAGCACCCAGAGTTAAAAGGGGGCTCGCTCCTTGTCCGTTATCTCAAGCTGGTGACCTCAATGCCGAAAAACACTGAGAAGACCCTTACAAGATGCATTTTTTGTCCCACAAGGGCCTTGTCAGAGAACAGAATACTGCCTGTTGTTTGAGCTGGGAGGCTCTGGGAGGTGCAGGGCCGTGACACTCAGCACGGGGTGCCACACTTATCTCCCAGGCCACGCTGCCCGTGGAGGCTGTGCCTGCGCTGCAGCCTCTGTAGCACCAGTTAGGCCTGTCTGGGAGATTTCGCAAACACTTCAGGGCTGAAATCTAACAACAGGCTGTTTCCCAACACTTTGCAGCTCTCCTCCCTTCCCCAGGACCGATCCTGCCTGCCCTGGTGCTGCTGTGAGCCAACCCCAGGTGCTGAGCAGGAGGCACAGCCAGGTCAGCCTGATACCAGCCTCTGTCAGGGACGAGCTCCCAGCCTTTGCAGAGCTGTTTCCCATCCCTCCCTGTACCTGTCTGGGATTTCTCCTGTCAACATTCCCACCAGTTCCCTATGGACTGGACTTTCTCAGCAGGGATCTGCCTTAGGATGTCACCAGCCTCTTCAGATAGATGCGTGTAGCGAGGAGTTGTGACCTCTCACTCGTTCCATGACCTGGATCCTAGTTCTGTGCTGCTCTGTTGTATCTTTGTCTTTGTTCCCATAGTTGGCAGCATGGCATCCAGGACAAATCCAGCCCTGTTTCCAAGAGGCAGCTCGGGTTTTATCCAAGGTCTTGTTGTTTGGGGTGGGAGAGGATTTTTAGGGCTCCCATGCCTTGGTGGAGAATGAAGTCTGGGTTCATGCCCTGTGCAGCACGGGTGGTGAGTTGGTTGAGGTGATGGTGTCTTGGATCTCCTGTGCATTACACCCAGGACATCCATGCCATCCTCCTGCCCAGCCCCTCATCCACCTGCTGTCCTTGCTCTTCTGGGTTCAGAGCAGGGTGCCCTGCACGCCCTAGGTGATGGGTATGATGTAAGTCGTGTCTGTTTTCTCCTGATGATGGATAGGTCTGTGGTCCAGTGTGGTTCTGGGGTGACTCACATTCCCTTGAGTGCTGTCCATCCACTCCATGGCTGTTCTGGATCATCTCCAGGAGATGTGTGTGTGTAGGGGGTACGTGTAGGCGTGTGGAGCTGTGTTCTTCAGTTATGCCTTTTTAAACCTATTTTAGTTAGTCTGAGGGTGCAGTATCTTGTACTACTGCATCTAATCCAGGCTGTAAGCTTAATTTTTATCTTTTTCTTCCTGCCCTCCAAGGTATTTGCCAGGTTTTCAGGGAGATAGATGCCGGTGAAATGCAGGGCTTGGCAGGTGGAAGGAAGAGGAGCTGATTCCTTACTACTGGCTTTACAATGGGTATATCTGGGAATTTCAATGCAGGTCATATATTCTGTTAATGAGTCGGGCTTTCACAGACCTATTTAAAAAGAAAATAGGCAGTTAATCTTGGAGTATGTATATCTGGGCTCCACACCTAAATGGGCTATCATTCAGCAAAAGGTTCAGCATTTATTATTTCTAGCACATCCACTCCAGAGGGCTGTCACTGTGTGAGCCCAAGGCAATAGACAGTCCTTCTTCTAAGGGGTTTTACATTTTCTCTGAGCTGGGTACTTCTGACAGTCCCACTGGATTCTGTGTGTGGGTTAGATTCCCTAAATACCTATGGAAATCAGGTCCTCAGGGAACTCAAATGTGTATTTGTTGTAAATGTTGTTTAAAGTGGAAACCCCGCATTACTGTTAAGTGTTTGGAGAATTTTGTCATGTCTAATACAACTGTGGCTGTGCTCATAGAAATCTCTGCCTTTTCACATAATAGAAAACTGATCTCTGGAGCTCACTGCCATAAGACAAAACAATTCATCTATCTGGACAATAGCACTGTAAAAATCGAATTGCATAAAAAGCCTCCATAAGGGACATAAAGTGAATAAGACTGATCTGATCAAGAAGAAACCCTTCTACACTCAGGCTACCCACTGCTGGGAACTGCTGCTGAGCCACGGAGCTGTCTGCTCCTGGGGCCACAGCTCTGCTTCAGAGAGAAAGCTTCTGCTCCTCTGTCCATGACCACTATTAGGAAACGAGAGGGTTTCTGGAGGACAACACACAGCAAGACATTTCTTCTCTAGTGGCTCCATCTCACCAGGAGCTGGTTGTAATGCAGTAGGGATCCAGTCTTGTACATGCACCTTTTCAAGTCACCCCAGTGCTGAGCACAGGCTTAGGGTGAGCTGTAAGAAAGCCCAGGAGAAAACAAGGGACTCACAAGGAGAAATGGGAGGAGAAGGAATGAAGGAGGTAGAGCACTTCAGGCAACAGCAAACTCATGCCAGTTTGGGTGTCTGTGGCCACTGTTTGAGCACAGCCCACAGAGTAGGTGAGGGGGTTTGAAGACACAGCCGTGGTTTGGAGACACAGCCGTGCAGGGCTTTCTTTCCCTCTTGGCTCTGATGTTCCTGCAGGTGAAGTGGGAGCATGTCTGGGATCTTTGTTCCTGCATCATGTCCCACTTAAGCAGGGACAGCAGCAGAGATGAAGTGCAGTAGGCTGTCAGGACTAATGTCAGCCACTTTACTGAACTGCCTGAATTGGGTGTGTGGTTGTCCTGTGCTCAGTGCAAAGGGTGAATCCACCTTCCCTGTCTCCCCTTTGAATGAAAGGGCCACTTAATCACCTTTGTCAGGCTGTGACAGAAAAACACAGTGAATCCAGGCCAGGGAGAGCAAAAAGCTTGATCAAGACAAATGAAGGAATCAGGGTCCCAGGTCTTGCCTCCAACCATTAACTTCATTGTACAACAGGGAGGATTTTCTAAGTCAAAATCATTGCCAAATGCAGACTGAACTGAATGATTCAGTAAAAAAATAAAAAGAGCAGGAAACTCCAGACATATTTAAACATTTTTTTTGAGCATTTTCTAAGTGAAACAGGTTTTTATTTGAAGACATAATGTTTGCTGTGAAATAGTCTTTTTTATTTGTTTGTCTTGAAGGGAAAGGTCAAACCTGAAATGCAGTAGATAATCTAAACCAAAATGTTTCCTTCTACAGTGAACAGAAAAACTCAATTTTTTTTCATGTATCTTTTCTTTTTTGTTTCCAGTATTTTAATTTAGTCATTAAACAAACCCTCCTCAGCCTCCTCCCCAAACCCCATTGTTTGCAGACTTCTCTGTTTTCCTATCTAAGAATATTCATAACACTGTGATACAAGACAGTCCTGCTTGGGCTGGCTTCTGTTGGATCAAGTGACTCTTAAGCTCCTATTGTTTTCTGCAGTTTATAAACTTACTTAGTTGCCAGTTATTTGAATTCATTTGCTTTTAACTTTTCGGACTATCTCTTTTCTTTGCAACCTCCACATTTGCGCAGTTTGTAGATTCAGATTATTCAGCAGTTGGTTATTTAATTCACAAGTCTCCAAGGCCGTGATGAAGAGCCATCACCCTGTTCTACCTGGAGGGCCATGTCTTGTGTGAATGAAGTCAAAAGCAGAGGGAGGAGGCTCTCCCAGCCCTGATTTGGTGATGAGCCTTGGCTATTTAATGTCTCTGTCAGCATGTCCCTGCCTTAGGCTCCCCAGTTGTGAAACAAAGCTCCACACCCCTCCTTCCCGTCAGGAGAAAGACACGCTGGACACGCAGGGACACGTGTGGAAGGTCTAGGTGGAGATGACAGCACAGTGCTGGGTCCACATTCCTAGATGTGCTGTGGGTGATACACAGGCAACAGGCAGACTCAGGCTTCATAGCCTGGAGAAAGTGTTTATGAAAGAGAGAGTGAACGTGTGGCAGCAGAGCCAAGGGAGGCAGACGGAGCGCGCGAGTGCAGCCCTTGCCGGGAACGTTGGAGCAGGTTGTGGCATTGCCTTGGAAGGAGTGTAGAGGAGGGGAATGAGCTCATTTGCTCTGTGCAGATGGGAGAAATTCTTGGGAATTCACTTCAGGGCAAGTGAGACACTTTTCCACCACCACCTCCTATTTTTCAGGTAAATACTATGATGCAATAGGCCCAAATCAACTTTCACTAGCTAAGCATTGCAGGGTAATGTTTCAGCTCCTTCTCATGCTTATCCAGAGGGATCATGGATAGATGGCAGCCAGTGCACGTAGCAGCATCTCGTTGCATTCCTTTGCAGTTCCTCAGTGCCCCTTAGCTGCATGTCCTGACCTCAAACACGGGAGGTGTTCAGACAAAGTCTCTGCTGGACTCCACTGATCTGCAAGATAGTGTTTGGTTCCATTCCTGAGGAACTGAAACCAAGAGCATCCACAGTTAAATGCACAAATGGAATTAGGCATGGCAGCAGCACCCAAGCCCTTCTGTAGAATGATGCCCTACGGAGGGGAGATTATGTCCCAGGAGTAGGGTTCCCCAAAGCCCCCATGCTGGAGGTGAGTAGGAGTGCTACAGGGGGGCTGGAGTTGGGACCTGTCAGACCCAGCAGTGTTTGGTGAGCCTCTGATTTGGTCATGTGAGATGAGGGTTTGTAACTTTGCTGTGCTTTAGTGTTTGCAGCCATTTGGGTAAGTCTAGCTTTCAGAAGCTGGTGCTGTAATGTGATCCAAGCACTGTGGTAAGTACCCTAAAAAGGCCCAGAGTTGCCTGAGAAGTACCTGTCTCCTCAGCCAGTTGTGTTCTTGTGCTTGATGGGAACTGTGAAGGGAGTATATGCTGACAGGTAATCACATGAGTTGACCAGGTTCTTCTTTTCACAGCCTTTCATGTAGACAGGTAGCTCACCCGAGGCCTCAGTGCACCACCAGCTCAGCACTAACATAAATCACTGTAAAATGTAACACAGCTGAAGGTTGCAGCTGATCTCTGAAGATTTCACTCCAGAGGTCTCGTTTGTTCTCTAGGCTGCTGTAGGTGTGTTCCCTCCTTCATTTCTTTGTGTCTTTGGCTTCCTTCCCCAGGTTACACCATTTCCTATGTCCTGTGACCTACAAGGAGAGTGTGCTTGCCGGGACCCCAACGCCCAAGAGCACAACCAGAAAGACCTCCGTGGCTTCAGTCTTGGGTAATGCCAAGCGACGTGGAATGGAGGACCACACTGCTCAAGGCAGGCTAGGAGAGACACCACATCCCTTTTGGTATCGTTTTTAACATTTAGCTGCTCAACTGGATGGCGTTTCTGCACCAGGGACCCTTAGAATTCAACCAGTCTGCCTTTAATTTTTGTCCAAGGAGAACTAAAGTAGGGGTTTATGTATTAACTATATCTTAAATAGTGATGACGAGAAACAACCAACCAAGAGTCAAGTCGAGAAGACTTTCATGTATCAAAACAGCATGTTATGCCCACCTAATTTGAACAGTTCATATCTAGATTCAAGGCGAGAAACAAACTATTTATGTACACATATTTATAGAAATAAGTAGAGAAAGAGAGAAAGAGTGAGAGATTATGATCAACGCAAAAACACTTTCCCCTCCCCAGCACTCACAACTCAGACCATTCATGGGAGAGGCTGTGCTCTTGGAGGACTCCAAGCTGAGCCTTTTCTGATGCTGAATGCCAAGGTATCACATGCTCGGGGCACTGAGGTTGGGGTAGGATCTCCACAGGGCTGGGCCTCTTGGCAAGTGACCTGCCAGACGCCCAGCCAGCTCGAGATGTGGGATGCATCTGCTCCTCACAGGAATGCTAATTCCAGCCAGGGAGCTCAGCAGACTGCAGTGGCCTTTCTGTACAGCTCCTCCTTCTCCCCCTGCTGCCCTCAAAAAGCCAACAAAAAGCCCCTTTGTAGCCTGAAGGGCTTCTGGGACGTTTCTGTGTGGAGATGGGCAGGTGGTCCCATGGTGGAGTCAGGGAGTGGGGAGTCTAAGGACTGGCATTGAGGAATGTGGATGGATGATTGTTTCTGAGGAGCAGAGAGGGTAACTCACGCCCGCACTTGTCATTTGAGCATGTCTGCTGCTGCTACTCCTGCTGCTATGTCCCATTCAACTAGTATCCTTACTGTGTCAGGACAGGGTGAAAAACAACCCCATGCAACCAAACAGTCTGCCTTAAAGCTTACCTACAACCTGCCTTTCAAACCCTCTGGTCTCTTCCTCAGCATTGGGGCAAGAAAAAAGGACACCAGCCAGCCAAAGAAATCTGCTTTCTGGTCTCCACCCAGCCAAGTGGTTCTCGAGACCTCCCCCACCCCACTCTTACAGTGGTCTCTATCTGACAACTGCTTCATGCTCCTGTTTTTTCAGGAGAGGGGAAGAGGAGGAGACACATGCCAAGGGGGAAGGATCACAGGAGATAGTATTAGAATTTTGGCCATATTTGTCAGTATTAAGCTGCCAGGGCAGTGGGTCAGACCCTTTTAACAAACCAGGAGCTTAGCTGCTTGTAATCTTCCAGAACGAAGGGCATTAGCTGCAGCAGATCTCACACTTCCCTGCCATCCTTCTGTTTCAGTCCAGAGGGGAACATGTTGTGCCAGATCCTTGGTGATTCTTTTCATCACAGGGTTCATCACACAGAGCCACTGAGATGCCCAGGGCATCTAGTGCTGCCACTGCTGCTACAACCCATCCCATGGAAATCCCAGAGATCTTTCCAGTGTGGCTTGGGCATGTATCTGCTGTTTCCAGCTCCTGCTAGGAAGAACACACATCCAAAAGAGCATCCTTCCAAAGTGTTGGGTCTGCCTGTTCCTTGGGACTCTCCTGACTTTTACAGTCTACTAGGTAAGGACAGGTTGAAAGATTTTTCCCTACTTCTGCTTGATTGAACATTTAGGCACTGGGGCAAGTCAGAACGGTAAGGGGAGGGGTCATTTGGCTCATGAAGATGGATGTAAAAATGGGTAGGAGAGCTAGAAATGGAAAACTGATAAGAGTGGTAGGTGCAAGGAACCAGACTCTTGGTACCCACTGTTGGGGTTGTTTCTATTGGAATAAACCAGAGATGAATCTCAAGAACTAAAATGCAGAGACCTGGAGAGGTGATTGTTGTTAGAAGGTGAGGAGCTGTCTGTTGGGAAGCTCCAGTTATTCCTGGAGAAGGCCTGGCCATGGGAGCTGTGAGGATGGCTCTGCCCCCACCATGCAGGGGTGTATTGGAAAGGGAGGTGCAGTGGGATCAGGGCTCTTTCCATGGAGTCAGACTGAGCATCCTCTAGTGTAGAGAACAGTGGCATAATCTTCCACTTTTGCCCCTTGCCATCTAACATGGGAAGTAAATAACTGTGGAAAGGTTGTTGTTCTCTTCTGGTCCCTTCATCCTCCCTTTTTTTGTTGGCAGTTTGTTCATGTGCCATCCAGCCCATGAGAAGAGCTCACAACCCCAAAAGCCTTTCAGGCTGCCAAAGCATCATGCCCTCAATGCCTGAGGCATCTGGGCATGATCTTCCCTCTCCACCCCACCTGGGTTTCACCCTGGCAGGGAGCCTCAGTTCAGGTCCTGCATGCATCCTGAAGATGCCTTTCCCAGTTACGGAGCTCAGCATGGAGGAGATTTCCCATCTGCTTCTCCCACCCCGGACAGTGCCCAGGAGAGACAGGTCTGTACAGGCATTATTGCCACTTGCTGCTGTGGGCTCCCAGGAGCTCGGGGCCAGCTGAGCCCCTCAGGCCAGCCAGGGCCAGCCCCTGCTCGCCGAGCTGGAGACCTTCTCAGCTCAAGGGAGTTGGTGGCTTCTCATCAGCACAGCCTCCCACCTCAGCTTCACTCCTGCAGTCCTGGGGTGCCCCAACTCCCTTTCCCACGGGCAGGCTTTCCATGCTGCTATTTGATTTTTTTTTTCTAACTACCACGTTGGCACTGTCCATCTCCTCCAGCAGGGCTGACAGGACTGGGAGCAGGAAAAGTTCTGCTCTGAGTCATGTTAAATCCAATGACTTTTTTTATTTTTTTCCATTAGGGCAAAGCTTTGCCCTCTGTGTTTCAGGTGCTGTGTGTACCATGCACCCAGAGGGATATGGATAGGGGAGCCACGGGACACAGGAAACTGCTCAGCTCTTGTCCCCTGTGCTCCCAACCTTAGGCAAGGCCAGCTGGATGGCCTTGCAGCATCTACCACTGTTTGGGCTTCAAATGCCCAGTGGACTCCTAGGAAAGACCCTCTGTGACTGTGGTGGCCGTTGGGTGGGAAGTGGGAGGGACATCACCCCTGAGTCAGCGGCATAGGGAAACATCAAACCAGAAGTCTGGGGGAAGAGAAGAGGTGCTCATACTGGTGAAATTTAGCTGCTCATAAAGTCCAGGTCACATTAGTGCCAAGATCTTCTCTGTCACAGATAGTGAGCCAGGGCTGCACCTTACCTGGGGCCACCAGCCAGCTCCTGGCTCTGGGTGATGTCCACGGCCAGGGGGAAGGGAAAGCTGGAGCAGAAAGCGGTGAACATGGTGGGGTGGGAAACTCCAATCAGCTGCTACCCCTCTCCCTCCCCACCCTCTGGCAGATGGGCTGAGCTGGTGTCCTCCTGCTTTTCTTGCGTCTTCTGCTGTCCCACCCAGGCTGAGAAAGGAGGATGGCACCAGAGGACTCTTGGAATCGGGTTCCAGCTACCTCCCTTCCGGTTTCGGTTTCACTTGGTTGTAACTGTCGGTTTGTTCTAGGTTTTACCTGTGTTTAAGAAAAAAAAAAAGAAAAAAAAAGGGAAAAAAAAAAGAGAGAGAGAGAGAGAGAGAGAGAAAAAGAAAGCCCGATAGCCAACAAAAGTTTCTTGCTGCGACTGATTCAAATGGGAAAAAAAAAATAACAAGTGAGGCTTTACAGAGAGGGATAAAAGAGGAAAAAAAAAAAAACATAAAAAAGGAGAAAAGGAAAAGAAAATCTGCATAATCCAAATCCAAGAAGAGCAAAGCCTATTTTTGTGTGTTTGAAAGGAAAACACCGATTCTGCCAGCTGAGTAGAGAGCTAGATACTAAGTGTAGATTTCCCTAGAAGTACCGTGAGGTTTTATAACATTGTCTGGTTTTGTTTTCCTCGTGCGTTGTGATAAATCCAGGAACTAAGGCTAAGGGGTTTTTCCCCTGGTATATTGTTGTTTGTAGGGGGAGGGGGGCGGAGTTTGGTTTTGTTTTTTTTTTTCCAGATTATTTTTTTAAGTGTGTATTTGTGCTTATTTTTACGTTATCCAACTGTACATACGCATTTAACCAGTATTTCACTGTGCTCTAATTACTGCACTCAGAAGCACTGCACAGTCTGAATCCCAGAGAGCTGAGAGAGACTAAGAGTGAGTGGGGAAGGAGAAAGCTGCTACCTGAGCAGACAGGTGATTCCCAAAGGTGGGAAGCGGGGTGCCAACCATCCCCTTCCCACACTCCGGCCGGTTGTTTCCATTCGAGGCCAAGCTAGAAGACAGGAAGGGATGGGGTGAAGTCAACCATGGATGGGGTGAAAGTCAGCCAAGGCCGGGATGCTCAGAGGGGTTTCAGAGCTGGCGGTTTGGCCTTTGAACTGATTTGGATGTCGTGGAGATTCCCAGCCTTTCAGCAGCATCTTGCCCTCCCCTGCCCGATCCCTGGAGGCCCCAGTGAGAGTTATTGGGCACGTTCATACCACTGGGAGAGGACCATGTGCCCGGCATAGATACACTCCAGGTACCTCCATGGTTGTGGGCCCCATTTTGGTCTCAGTGGTGCAGCTGAATGGATTTACTTTACGTTTTTTTCCATGTCATCCCATGCTGTGGGGAAGGCCATCTCCCTGCTGGGGATGCAGCAGTGCTCCTGCCTCCAGTTGACCTTATATGTTGGGCACACTGAAGCCCTGGGGACAGCCCCCTTTCACTGAAGGACCTTGACCACTGAGTTCAGTGGGAGCACGACCAAAACATCAGCAGGAGCAGGTCCGGGTGGCCCAAGATGTATTTCCTTGGAGCTACGGTCAATGTGGGCAATAGGGGTTTGGTGTTGGGCTGTTCCTGCCACCTGGGGGGTTCAGATCCCAGTTCATTTTGGCAGGAGCAAAGTGAGGCTTCATGTTTTGTCTCTGTCTTCGTTTGGCAAACTGAACTCTCCCCTTTTCACCGGATCTACACATCCAAGATTCACTAAGAGTGAGAATCGCTTCCTCTGAGGCCACACACAAGAGCTTGGGTTGGCTTCAGGTGTTCGATGAGGAGCCTTGGTGCAACTTGGTGGTGGTGTTAGGTCCAGTTGTCTTTGGTTCCCATTCTGGCTTAGTTTAGTCTTTTGGGTTTTTTTCATTCTTTTGGTGAGGCCATAGTTCAGCCACCAGTTTCCATCTTCTGAGTGCAAAGAACCAGGGCTTTAACGAAACATTTCACCAGCAATTCAAGAGGGAATTGGAACCATTGCGGAGTTTGCATTGTACGGCCTCTGTAATTACGTACCTGTCTGCAGATGATGGGCTGAATTTTGCTCCCATCAAGTCAACACAGGTTTTTGTTGTTGTTGTTGACTTCCCTGGGAGCAGGATTGAGCCGTACTATATATATAAATATATATATAAATATATATATGATATATATATAATATTATGTGTGTAATATTATATATATATCAGTGTAATATTTACAAATAAAACTGTGATCTCGTCTAGAGAAAAATGTATTCATATTACCAACTGCTCTTCCATATTTATGTATCATATTGTATCTTTTTATTATTGTTATAATTATTATGATTATTATGGTTATTATTATTATTATTATGGAATCTTTCTTGGCACCTTTTGGAAGCCATGTCAACCAATACTCCAATGAAGTGCTGAGGATCTATTTTCACAAGAATTCTACTGGTCTACTGTATAAAAGAGAAAAGAAAAAAAAAAAAAAAGAAACAAGCAAAATACAGTTCAACCCTTAATTCTGTACCTCACGCCTGTACGTTTGCTGCTCCGATTTTGGGTTTTATTTTGCGTTCGTTTGTTTTTAACGGATCTAATTTAAGTCTCCAAGCAATATATAAAGATGTAAATAGTAAAGCTTATTTATTAAGATTGTCATCTTTTTTAATTTATATTTACACAATTGTTCATCTAATTTATTTTTTTTCAATACAGTTTTTAACAGTTGTCCTTTTTTTGGTTCATGATGTTTTTTAAATCATTTTCACAGAATTTCTTTATACAGGTTTTTTTCTCTTTCTTTTAATAAGCAACAACTTCCTCTGGTCTTTCAAAAACAGGTCATGTTTCACTCCAAAAAAAAAAAAAAAGTTATGTCAGATTCATCAGAAATATTTTGCCATTGTTGATTCCTATACCCTAAAGTTCTATATTATATAAATATATAATACCTTGTATGCTTAAATATTTAACTGTGTGATTTTGTATATATCTTCATACACATGCTCACACACATATGAGGGTTAATGTCCCCAGATGTTGGGAGAACAGAGAATCAGAAACACAAACAATATAAGCTTGTATTAAAGAGTTCTGAACTGGACCCCTCGCTCTTGCCACGTCTCCTTTGCTTTCGGTCGAGCCGGCCCCGAGCAGCGCCGGGTACCCGTGGGGGTGTTGAGTGTGGCTGTGGGGTCCCACATCTGGCTGCACAGCTGCACAGCGCCCTGTCCACGTCCTGCAGGTCTTTGCTTTTGGGCAGGGGTTTGGAAAACTGCCGTGTTTCGACAGTGGATGGAGGGAGGCAGCGCCAGCCGGAGCCACGTGAGCCCAAGAGCTTGTTTCACCTCCAGTGGGTTTGGCTCTGACAAGGTGGTTTGGGTCCTGCTTCTCTCAGGGCAGGCTGGTGCTTGGTGGAGGTTTTGGTGTGAGAGGGTTGAAAATGTGAAGGTTGAACACTTCTAATTTTAACAAGAATTTGCTTTGTTTTTCAAGCTGTCCATGTTTTCTGCTCGCCCTCTCCATCACATGTGGAACATGGTCATCTAGAAAACAAGTCCCAGTGGGAATGTACCTTGACTCAAGGGTATTACCTAGGAGGAAAGGAGGGCTAAAAACAAACTATGTGCAGCTACAGAGCTTAACATCTGAATGCAGAGAGCCTTTGGACACATGAGAAATCAGACAAATAGAGATAAATCAGTCTCCAGTGGTGAAGAGATAGCTGGGCTTGCAGAGTCCCTGCCAGACCAAGGCCTGGTAAGGTATGCACAGTGAGCTCGTGCATGTCTGGTGATGATAAAGCCCTGTGCCCAGTACAAACACACAACATGTACACACATACCAGCCTGACCTGGTTCCCACCCCTCCTCAGAGCTGGCTCACCTGCAGTGAAGATGCATGTCTCTCCTCCTGGAGAATGAGACTGTGCAACCCAACATCATCATTTTGGTTGGCACAGTGATGGGCACATCGTGCCCACAGGCATGAACAGGTCCAGAGGGAACGGGCTGGACTCCAGCCACAGGGGTGTCAGGTCTTGCTAATGAGTGAAATAACCTTAATTGGCTTAAGCAGCTTTTGGTCCTACAGCACCAGAAATGTGACATTTGTTGCCACAGCAGATGTTTGTGGAGAGGAGGGTGGGCTGGACGAGATGCAGCTCCAGCAAAGCCTGCAGCAGCCCAGGGCTCAGCCCTGCACAGCTTGTGCAGCCCACCTGCCCCAGCCAGGGACAGCTTCCCTGGGCATTTCAGTTGATGATCACTAATGGTAAAGTCCTTTGGCACTGTTCTGGCCCATCAGCTTCACAGATTTTCCTCCCTCAGGGGCTCTGCCTCCCCTCAGTTCCAGCCGCGCTGGTCCTGCTGTGCTGCTCCCTCACCATTGTTGCTCCAGCAGGACCCCCCACACTGTGTATGGGGGCCATGGTACAGACCCAACTCACTGCCCACACACAGACCCTGCCAAAGGAAAGGACTTTATGCTGCTCTACTGAGAAATCTGTATCAATTCAGCTTCCAAATGTGGATTGATCCATCATCGACATCTCCAAACCTTGAGGATGAGCACACAGGCAGGACAGGGGCTGTTCAACCCTGACAGTTATTGACCCCCTCATCCTAGAAAGAGTCCTTTTTAACCCAGTTAACTCCCAAACTCATTAACAATTTAAGTGCCCAGGAAAGCCCTGGTGAGATGTGGAGGCTGGGAGCACAGAGAGAGGACAAGGAAGGGATGCACGGGGCAGCAGTGTTAAACACCAGCTCTGCTTTCCCTGTTACACATTGTCCTTTGCATCTGCTTGGGTCAGCACTGGGCTCTAATGCCAGCCAGCTCTATTTTCCATCCTGATGTAGTTACAGTACTGGCTGGTACCACCTTGGCCCCCTCCAAAAGTGTGGCAGTAATACCATAGAACAATAAATGAATCCATGGGATCCAGGACACAATCCACGGGATGGCTGGGGGCAGTAGACTGAGGGATGAGAATAAATTAATTTTTTATTTTTTTTTTACACTGACATAAATGACTCAGTAAAACTGTTTTGCATTTTACCTGTGAAAATCCACTGCCATATGCTGAGCAGGGAGAGACAGGAACAGCACGAGCAAGAGTGCATCGTGTTTTCTATACTGTCCTTGTCTGTGGTCAGTGCATTATTAATGGGCTATAAGTGCGTCACAGACAGCCCTATCAATAGCACATACTGTAGATAAAAAGGCCCAGGAACGATGTATTAAATGGGCTGTGTCTTTAGCAATATACAAATCAATTGGCTGTGTGTTGAACTATCTATTAAGCATTAATAAAGACCTTAAGATGGGAGTAGCCATGAAGGCAGGGAACAGCGGGCAGCTCGCTCCTGCTGGGCTCTGCTCAGCTCCACTCCTCCTGCATGTGCACAACCACCCCAGGATCAATTGGAATGCACAGTCAGAACAACAGTTTCTGTGTCCAGATTACGTGTCTGTCTGGAGATCAATGGCTAAAGAGAGGGAGAGGAAAAAAAAATCAATGTGTGCATTGAGCCAGGTCTGTCCTGTGAGATGGCAACAGGGCTTGTGGCCACCAGCAGATGTTAGATCTGGCTGGGGTCTGGCAAGGGTGGCAGCTTTAATGTTTCATCCCCATAGCAGTGCTGCTGGTCACCTCACTGTGCCACCACCCCTGGGAGTCACAGCACACTCAGCATCACCTGTCCTGGGCCACTGACCTCTCCAAGTGCCCATGTGCTGGTGACTGCCAGGCACTTGTGACATCAGGTGTGGTTCCTGTTGGCTGCATGAAATCAAAAGGAGTTGACTGCATTAATTATGTACAAAAGCTGGGGAAATTGCTCTGAATTCATATGGCAAAAAGTCCTCTCCCAGCTCAAAGTCACAGCTTCTCAAACAAGTATGACTGGTAACTGTGGAAATCGTAGAATGGCCTGGGTTGGAAGGGACCTTAAAGATCATCTACTAATGGGAAAATGAAGCTGTTAGCAACAGAACAATTTGGTCAAACAGAGACAAAGGTTTAAAAAAGCTTCAGTGGAAGGACTGGAATATAAAGGAAACTACTCACAATTATACACGAAAGCTTCTTTCCATGTAAGCAAGTACATCTGAAAATCAAGTGAATGTTCAGGCTGGCAGATGTGTGCCCATGTGTTCACTTGCTTGCACACAGGCACACACACAAACTCAGAAAAACCTTCGTGGTCCAGCACTACCTTTTCCTGGACTTGTTCATCTCACCTCCTCAGTTTTTCAGGCACGCATCTGGGAGGTGAAGAAAAGTGAGCAGTTCTCAGGTCAGAATTCTCCTTTTGATGCTCATTAAGTGCCATGACACTACAATGGCCCCATGTTTTCCCCTCTGCCCCGAACTGGAGTAACTGCTGCCTACATCATTCAAGTCAACAACTTGCCTCAGTTCTCCGACAAAATGCAGCCAAAGGACCAGGATCTTCTCTTTTTTTACAGTACAAGTGAGGCAATACTGTGTCAAAATAGTTTTAAAGTCTTGAGAATCTTTTGGTTAACTTCTCTCGGGCTCAAGGAGGATCGTTAGTGGTTTAAACCAACTTCCATGAAATTACTATTTTTTTTTCAGATAAAAGGTTACAACTTTTTGATTGCTTTACTTATGATGAATGAAGAACTAGTCCAAACAGCAACATCACCCCTCCCTGCCCTGCTCTTAAGATGATATCTGCCCATTTTACCCATTTATAAATCTCTTCCCCACTCATATAGCTTTTTAAAGAAGTGCAAGAGCCCCATATCTAAGATCACTGCTGCTCCCCTTTATCCTGATCCAGACTACAGGGATGAACTGACTTATGCTTCAGGTCTGTTGGCATTTTTGATGAGAGCTGAAATATGGGGGATGATTCTGGCTGCAAGTCAAAGCCCACCTGTGCCTTTGGGCACTCACCTTGTAGCACAGACATGCTCAAAATAAGAAGATTCTTTACAAAATGTTACCTTAATAACATGGTCCTCCCCTGGTGCTGCTGTGTTTCCATAATGCTCCACGCCACAGCTAAGCAGGCTTGGAGAGATGGGAGGGTGGGCAGGAGCAGGGAAGGGAGAGGGAATCCTTTTTATTGCACACTTCATAAATGCTGCAGTGCTCAAATTTTCCAGCCGAGCATTTAAAGCCTCCTGACCCCCACAGCCCCATATGAAGTACCCAAGCTGAAGCACATTGTACTGACTCAAACTGTTCCTCAAAGCCCTGGCAGCTCCTGGTGCCCAGGATCTGTCAGGAGCCTGTTGGGCATAGTCTTATCTCCCTCCCATTCTCAGCCCAGCACTGTGAGGGGCACTCACAAGGCCAGAACTGCCCCTAGCCTGTCCCCCCAACCACAGTGGGACTGTGAGCCATGGTCCTGGTTTATCACCATGACCACCAACAGTTGGGGAGGCAGTCAGGCCAACTGTGCTTAGAAAAAAAACCCCAAGAAACCTTTTCTTTTGTGTCTTGCAGTGCACAAATTGAT